ACTACAAATAGTCGTGCTTCACCTGAGAACTATGTTTAACTGTATCTGAAAAACCATGTAATTAATCATTTCTCCCTTTGCATTTGGCTGCTTTAAAGTTCAGAGACAAATTTGGGTTTCAACAAAAGCAGAAGTGGTGCATATTTTATGAATTATTTCACTCTTGCCTTCATGTTACTTTTTACTTATTTTGTTGTGTTATATGTACTTATATAGACTGCCTTAATTTTATAAGTTGCCTTAATAGGTTGATACATAAATAAATTCAGATGCACATAAAATGACATGCTTTGAAAAAACACAGTGAAGAATCTTTTTTTTTTGTGAAGAACCATTTTAACGTATACAATTTAAGTAAGATATAATTAACTCAGGAAAATCCAGTTAAAAGCCAAATAAAGCTGTATTTTTTATACTGTACAAAAGAAAATTTACATTCATAATGTAACTAGATACATCTAGGGAAAATTACACAGCTCTCAGGAAACACAATGTTTAACATCTTTGATAGGTTTCTGCATTGCAGACTACTAATGGATTTTATACATCTTTATTTACAATAACATAAAATATTTTTCATCTCTGCAGATATTTACAAGGTTAACAGTGACTACATTTCACATTTCAACAATCAACAGCATTAACCAGTTCAGTAAGACAGTTAATATAATGGCTTACATGCACCAATAAATATGATCTTAAATGTGTTTCTTCCTCAGCTCTGAAAAAAATAAAAATTTTCACTAGTCCTAGGTTGAAAGGACATCAGTCAATAGAGATCACATTTTCTTCATGCCGATCCTATTTAAATTTTCACCAGCACTATTTCTGAATACTTGGGAAGTTTATACCAAGCCTTATATTAATGCTGGTTAAAAAGAAAGAGCGAGCGAGCTGATGTATACATTCCACATCACTTTATGAAGCAAACGTGAAAACGGGATATTTCCTGTTTAATTGTCCATGGCGACTCAGACTACATAATGCAAGAGTAATAAAAACCCTTCAGGAGAGCCAACATACAAGAAAAATGGTGGGAAAATAATCTTTGTACCATTTAAACTGTTTCACATAACCTGTTAAATTGAATGTAAAGCCAGCATACATTTTAGTGTAAGCATAAAAAATATTAATGGTAAAGCATTTGATGAACATATTACACATGAAGCACTGAGCATAGCTCAATTCTGGTTGGTAACTTAATCTCCCAAACCAACACTAGTAATTATTAGAAAGCTGGTCTTCTGTTTCCAAGATAGGTAATCAACATATTCATTATGTTTAAACTATGATCTAACATGAAAAAAAAATGCAGTCTGTTTGGAACATTAGCTAACTTATAATTACATTTAATGCTTGAAAAATATCAATAGCTTAAATAAATTCTTTAGTTCTTATTGGTCTATCATTTAAAAAAAGGAGCACTTAGTTTTTTTCAACCTAAGCATGTCGTTCAATAAAGAAAAAGAACACCCAGTGATTACGTACATAAATTATGTAAACAAACATACCACGTTAGGCTATATCATACCTTTTAGAAATTGCCATTGCCCTTTTAAAAAAGATACACTTCTATAATTTGCCTCTCAACTTTGTTTTTAAAAGCCATAATAGTATATCCATTTTAGGAATTTCACCCCTTTTTTCTCAATACTGATATGCAGAATCCTGAATATTGAGTTAAGGATACATGAAAATGTGCCATAGGGAATAACATCTGGATTGAACCTTTACCTTTCTTGCTGACAAAAGAAAAGGGAATCTTACAGGTACTATATATCTAGGCTCCAGATCAAAGGGTCATTTAATGTTTATTCCCTGCAGGGGTAGTAAGCATCCTTTGTGTTAAAGGAACCAACTTAACAGGTCCTTAAAAAATATTTGGTTGGTATATTTTCTTTGGTAAATTTTGTAATCAAAGAAGTTATAAAGAATTTCCTTTGATACAAGTTAACACTGAGTTGCTGATATTCAAATACAGCAAGCCAGAATGATAATTCTATAATGGGGGGTGGATTGTCCAATTAAGTTATCTTTGAAAATAAAATTTCCTTATTAAACCGACATCAGGTACACAGTCTTAAAAAAAAAATACCTCATTTATATTTTAAGCAATACCTTATTTTAAATTTATTTTAAATTAAACAACATTAACCACAGATATTGGATGTGCCTTAACATGTAACATCTCAAAATCCAGAAGCAAAACAGAATCTGCATCTCTGTACTATGCTGCCAGTTATTTCACATCATTCCCAGCTTTCTACTCACTCCTATACTGACCTGTTTGCTCTTGTGTATTTTTCTCATAAGATTAGCAACTAAGACTACAAAAATACTGAAGAGAGTAAACTTACCAAAATTTTGTTTGTGGTCAAAATTTAGAAGGAACTATGTCTACAGTGGCAGACCAGGTTGGGTAACAATGACTCTCTTTCAACTCTAATGTCTTGGGGTTACACCAATTTCTGGCACTGCCAAAAATCAAATATTATTCAAGTGCACATTGGCTGACATTATGAACAGTATTTGCTATATATGTCCCATGCCAGTACACTAGGTACACAACTGCAAGGTACACAATGGAGGTAATCTTAAATTTTATATCTTTCTCAACTTGACACCTTGGTCAAAAGAAAAAAAATGTACCAATCCGGTGACACATTAAGATTCAACTAACACTGTTAACAATTTTACATTGCATTCTATCATCCTAAATAAACTGACATTCTAATTTTCTAGAGTTGAAACAACCACTAATTTCTAGTTGGGTTTCAAACAATTAGACAGGTTTTAAACTAAACTGTTTCTAAAAAGGAATTTTAAAAAAGTTAAAGTATTATAAATAAATGTCTCAACCAAAATAGTGATTTGAAACATGGCAATAATTATTCAATTTGAAAGATAAAATCTCATGTTCAGATTTTTTAATATAGCCATAAAATAGAAAATGCTCTAAATCTGGTGTGACCTATTAAACTTCTTACAAACTGAAAAATAAATGTGTAACTGAATACTGATTTAAAAGAAAACAAACATAAAACTTGTAGTCCAAGCAGAAATAGATCCTTGTTGCCAGTGTTTACAGTGTACATAAAGGCAGGTAGTATTTTTTTAAATTTCCAAATAGACATTCAGAGAATTAAATGATACAACTTTGTCAATAACAACTCAAAAATGAACCCATATACACACTGTACAAAGATTTCACTAAAATATCACAAAAATAGTGCAAACAAAACAATCTGGAAGAAGTTAGTCTTGGTGTTCCAGTGTTTAGTAAATAACTAAAAATATTAAGTAGAATTTGAGAATATAGGTTGGAAACACTGAACTTATATAGCTGAAAGACATTTTATATCTTTAAATTAAATTAAATCCTGGTCATCATTCCATTATAAAATTATAGGACTCATCTTATAAACCTTTAGGAAATATTGCTAGTGTTTACTTCCTCTTTTGACATTAGAAGTTAATGGAATCAAATTTAATCTTTACAATACTCCATTGTGCAATACAATTTAACTTGCCACCTAGGTGGTTATAAAAACTGGCTGACCAAATATTACTTTAAAAAAGCTAGAGACATTGATCAAAAGATTTTCACATGGTTAAATAAATCCTCAGAAATATAATCAACTATAAAGTGGCAGCATACAACTGTCATCTGGCTGAAAATATTAAGGCATAAACTAGAGTAAGTAAAATGTATCTATCATCCTCTTATCTGTGATAGATACATCGAGATTTCCAACATTTCCATCTGTTTACTACTCTTGTTTCTGGACTTAACACTTTTGTTAATGTACTACATTCACCAACTACTAGAACTGTAAAAAATACATACACAAATATAGTGTTACATATCACACATGGATTTGATGGGAGACAGGAGCTTGGTTCTGGCTCTGCTTCATAGTTATGTGGTCTTGATTGTGTCACAAAATTTGAGCCTCAGTTTCCTGAGGATGGAACATGATGGGGGCAAGTGCTGGAATACTATCTAGATTATCTCCAGGGTCTCTTCTAGCACAAAAAATCTCACTCTATGATGACAACAGGCACAGAAGAGTAACTGGGAGAATAAGGGTGGTGACGGGAGGCCAGAATTTCAAAATTGCAACCATTTCTCCCCCACCTCAGCTTCTAAAGTATTTCCATATTTAAAAATCTTGTCGCTAAGATGGCTGTGCACTTTATATTCCAGCTTGCTTTCTAGTTATTTATTTTAAATTGATGTCACAGACTTCCTCAAAACCCTTAGGTATTTCTTAATACAAACTGGCATGAATGTCATCAAATTGTTTTATTATAGAAAACAAGTATTTTCTCCCTAACTAGTTTTTCATAAATGAAAGGACTTCTTAAAATGGAAATCAGCAAGAATATACTTTGCCATAAAGTTAGCAAGTACACAACAAATTGTTAAATGATAAAGTATGAGGTTGCTGGCATTTATTTTTAACAGCTGCTGGATAGCTTAAACTATTTTCAAAACATTTTAAAATTAAATGTCAATAAATAATGCAAATGAATATCAAATCTCTTAGAAAATGTGACTTATGGTTTAAACTAATTCATTCCACCATGCATAGGAAAACTATTTTAAGATTTGAATTAAATAAAGATGCCTCACTAGGGTCAAATCACATCACTTAGAAGACCAACACAAATGTTACAGGGTCCTGAAATATTAATGGGTATATATATACATACAAAATATACATGTGTACATGTACAGATAAACAAAGTCCTCTGAGTTGAAAGTTTTTCAAAGCCAACATTTTAGTATATAAACTAAGATTTCTATCAAATCAAATGGAGATCTTACATTTATCACAACTACTGCTGTACTTTGGTATTATCTGATATTTGTGCTTTAAGATCGTGCTAGATTTCTATGCCAATAATGCACAATGTGCTAAATTAAAAACAACCCTTCAGTATTCCAAACCAGGCATTTCTACCACCATAAAGCAATCAACCTCCAGTCATAGGCAAGATCTCACTCCCTGGTAAATTGTAATTACTTTTTCTTTCAAGCATGAAATTTTGCTTTCCTTAATATAGATCTTTACACTTAATTATTTTGGGGGCTTTTAATTAATTAATTTATTTATCTGACATCGCCTAGTCTAATTAAGGAATACCTAAAATGTCTTTGTGAAATATATACATATAACACACACACACACACACACACACATATATACAATCAATAAATCTCTATCAACTTTTAGCTTTACCTTGAACTTTGGCAATGTTAGTCATGTTCTAGTTTCCCATTTTTATTTTCATATGAGCAGAAAAAATGGTACAGACCACCAAATTCAAACAATTATCTCATTGTTCTTATAAAGATCCTAACAGAAAATCCTTTTAAAAAACAAAACAAAAAAATTGGGTGTGAAAAGAACAAGAGGCAGTTTTCTGGTTATTTCTCATAATCTAGTGTAGTTTTAATTGGTAGAGATAAAATTTTAAACTTTTATTAGGAGAATACTTGCTTTCTATAAAGTCATTATATCTTTTTTTTTCACAATAAAATAAAATTGTCAATGTACCAAGCAACAACAGCTCTAATATATATTACGTGGAAGAAAATGTATAGCAATTCAAATCACAGTACACCGATTTTCAAAAACCAATATATTCTCTTCTATTTCAGTCAAGCAGTAGAGCTTGAGACCCAGAAGAGGTTATAATAAAGTCTGAGATTTTTTTTTAAACTAATAATGCATTTTTGTAGCCTCTTAGCAGTTACCAAATACTACTTACATACATTCAACATCTAACTTACTGACATGATTTCAAAATTTTATAAAAATGAGAAACTTCAGCAGATATATTGATTAGAAGATACACAAGTTGCATTACATTAAACACAAAGGCAGTGTGGTCTGTGTAGGAGAAATCAAGTCAGTACCCCCTGATAGAAATATTCTATAAAAATGTATCACATTGAAGCATCAGTGTTTTCAGCCAATTATCTGTCCCTGATGTATTTCCTTGGAGTATATGATCTATTAGGACTTCAGTTTTCTTAATTCAAAGTATCTGACTGAATTTAGGTACATCTAAAAAGCAGCTGAAAGGGTTTCTCCAATAGTCTTACATCACAGAAAGTGGGTTGAGAAATCCCTCCCTTTACCTGAAGACGTACTCATTCTACTTCAGTCAACATCCGCTCACAAGAGAAAAAAAAAATCAAACTTCCCCCCATACACACCATCCCACATAAGCCAAACAAAACCTGACATACCACCCCGCCCAAACCCCAGCACCAAAGTGTCAGTCATTCCTGGGAAATAGAACATGCCCCTTGGATTCTCTGATTTGTTAGTTGTTCATACTTCGAGGACAGAAATGCCCTTATATCATTGTGGGGAGGAGGGAAGACATGTTATTAATAATAGACTATAGAGCCATTGCAAAAGTGCATAATCAATTACTCAACCCACTTAGAACCCTGCCCTCCAATGGAGGTAGCCACAACTTGATTTAAATGCCTCAGTAATAGAACATTTGTGTCCTCAAGATAAAGGAGATTGGGGGGTGGGGGGGTGGAGGGAGGTGGAATATAGAGCCACCCTCATTTTAATGAAAAAGTGCAGCAGTCTACCTACCACCTTTCCCCTTGCTTATCAAGAAAATGATTGCACAACTCAGAGAAGTCCAAAGTCATAGAAGAATCTCTGAGGCACTCCTGGTTAAGAGAGAAAAAAATATGATCCAGTAATCTTCATAGTTCTATAGATATGAGAACAAACCCGTTTCATTTTTTTTCCTAAATGAAAGCCAAAGAATCACTTCATAGGGATCATATACACCATTTCCTCTAACATATATCCTCAGTCTCACAGTGTTGAAATGGGACCGATCAGCCTACGATGGATTGCACATCACCCAAGGAGAAAAGAAGGCATGGAAAATGCAAACATTTTATACTGCTTCACAAACACATTTACAAGGTATAGGTGAAGAGAGGATATAGGAAGGAGAGAAAAGAAAACCTTATTGCTGTTTCCATACAAAATACAGTATGAAGATACCTAAACTAAACCGAATCTTATTACAATGACCAATATTTTCATTTTCACAATATGGGATGAAGTGTCTTCTCGCACAATGAAATGTTCAGTTTAAAAGGTAAGCAGAGAGACCAGAGAAGTCAAAACTACACCTGGGATATTAGCTGCATATTGAAACTTGGGGATCGAGACTGCTTGGTTAAGGGTGCTCCTGGACTGAGTAGCTCTTTGCCTTCTCCAGCTTGACCTAGTCGGTCTTCTTGTAGACTGATAGTTGAGTATCGATTAGCGTTGCTAGTTGCTAAATTTGTAACTCCCTCGGTGCCAATCCCAATGCTGGTACTGGCTTGACTGCCATTTACATAGTCAAATGACTTACTTGAGGAAGCACTGGCTGTCCGGATTAGACTACTGGTTTTTGGCACCACCTGGCCAGCAGGCAGGCTCAGGTGTTTCTTCATCGGTGTCAGCTCAACTGAATCTACACTGAGGTCACCTGGTTGCTGCACATACTGCCTTCGAACTACTGAATCTCGAGGGCTCTCACTGGATTTGATGGCAGAGGTTGTTTCTTTATCCTTGGCTGAACGCCCAGTTGCTACTTTTCGTAAGCTTCCCCTCTGAGAAGATGAAGATGGTTTGGTACCAATTGGCTGACTGCTGAGGGAAGCTCCTGATGAAAATCCTTCATCTGCATCATTCAGATTTACAGATTCCTCTCCTCCATTTATACCCTCAGCACCTAAAAGACAAATCAGATAGTCTCAGCAATACCTAAATTAAACAATAAACAGCTGTGAATAACAACTCAACTGTTCTTATCTCTTGGGTAGTGTTTGTAATAGGTAGGCATGGCCTCGCTATCAATAGTTCCCCTAAATGAAGTAGGGGAAGAAACAATCTACATGAGTCCAGCTTTCCATACTATTAATATTTAAGTCCATAAAACTACCTTAGATAAAATAATATTCTGTTATCATAGATGTATTATGGTAACACAACTAGTCAATTTGAGGTAATCATATCTACTTGAACAAATTTTTTCTCTCATGTCTTCCTAAACCCATTATTAAATAAGACCATGCAAAAAAGACCAAAATGGCAAAAACTCATTGATCCCTATAATTAAACTCCTTTTAAACTGCAATGAAATTTTTTCTTTATTCAAGAGGTAACTACTTCTGAATGGTTAAAAACCTTAAACATGGAACTAGCAAATTTTCTAACTCAAAATTTAAAAACTCTATATTGCTTCTATTAGCTACATACTGATCTTGTCTTATAGACTTATCTACTCACTGGCTTCTATATTTTTATCATCAATTAACGTGAAGATAATATTTGATTATGCGAGCAAGGGTAATAAACAGCAGGAACCTTCGAAAAATATTTTTACTTTCTATATTATGTATTTCAGACTTTTGGTATTAAGATATATTATTATCATAATCACAAAATACGTCCCATTTTGTTTCATGTAGAAACTGCAGTAAGGATAAGTAGAATCCTTATCTTGGGAGTTTTTGAAGTGTGAAAAATAAATACATTTAGTCTGGGGTTTCCAGAAAATCCAGTTTCCTTACTGAAAGTATGATCAATGTTCTTTTTACTTTTTTTCATTTTGTTCTGATTAACATTCTCATAGAATGCTTCTGCTTCTTTCGAAAACATATTGATTTGCTAACTCATTACATGTTATTAAATAGTTCCCATACTGCAAGGAAGTTTAATCTAAATCTATACGCAGACAACAATATTCTACTTAAAGTACAATGTTAGGAAAGAATTCTAAACAAATATCACTTTGAGAAACAGCTAATTAAAACAGATACTTATAAACACAGTCTTTAACATAGTAACCAGAAAAATAAAAAATATGTACTTAGTTGTACTGTCTCATGAGTTAGTTATTTCCTTCCTACTAAAGAATAAAATAGGCTATCCTTAAAGCAAAAGGCACTTTATATCCAGCAGCTGAATAATTTTTAATCATGCAAAGCTATATGAAAAGACAGCTGACACCACTTCTCTCAACCCCTTCTTCAAAAGAATAGTGTGTACATGTAGATAACATAGTAATGTATCTTAAAATAAAAACTTTAAATTACATTTGTATGATAATATCTTAGTAATTTACTAACAATTAGTAAGATGAACTCCAAAATACCAAAGAAAAAAATAGTTACTGGTTCAGA